TTCTTGTGCTATATATTTTTATTTTCTATTTGTTACTACTATTTTCTTATTTGTTTTGTTTACTTTAATTTTTTTTTAGTTTTCTTTTTTCTATTATTGTTTTTTGTTCTAACTGTTTCTTCAGACTTGTTTCTGCTTTTTGCTTCTCTTTCTTTTTGCTATTACAAGTTATTTTCTGTTTTGAAGCTAAAATCTTTTAGTCTACTTCTTCTGTTAACTTTTGTGATAACTTCACTTAATGTTCTTACTGCTACTATATCTGCTACATCTACTGTGAACAATAATGCTGTATATCTGTCTATTCTTGTTTCTATACTATTTGTTATTTCTAGTATTTTGATTAGCTTTGTGTAGCTAACTCTCTGTAAGCTTTGTGTCATTAATTTTTCTAATACTCTTTCTAATAGGCTCTCAGGTCTTGCTTCATATGTATTTCTTCTCATATTAATTACTATTGTTTTGTTTGTTAGTTGGTTTAGTTTAGTTGTTTCTATATCACATGCTTATTTTAATAAACTATTTTAATATATATGTTTGTTTATTTATTTTATTTCTTTATTGTACTTTCTGTATAATCTAAATTGATTTTCACAACAAGATCACAAATATTTCATAAAATTTTTACAAAAAAATTTTGTTTTTATTAAAATTTTTATTTTTTTAAACTATACTATCTCTAAGCTTTTTCTATTTATATTTGTTTTTTTAGCTAGATGTAACTTTTGCTATTTTTTCTTTTTTATTATGAGTTTAAGTATTGCTTTCTAATAGGTTTTGTGATTTTTTCTATATTTTGCTTCTTATTAATTTTTGGTCAAAAGATTTACAGAAGAGAGTTTTGTAAATAAACTTATTGTTTTTTTAGTTTTTACAAATTATATAATCATAAAAACTTATTTTAAATTTATACTATCCAGTACTAATTTGCATCTTTTTGTATAACTAATATTACACAGATGCTCTATAATCTGTTAGTTATGCTAATGTGATTATAATTACAAATATCTTAACCCGATTGTCAAAAAATAATTATTATAATACAGATAAAAATTTAAATTTTATACTATTAGTGAGTTTTGAACTTATAAACTAATATTTAAAAGATTAACAACTTATTTATTTTACTAAGTTACTATATCTTATATTTAAATAATTTGCATAGTTAGTATTAAAGTTTTTTAAATTTAAATCAAAACAAATATTGGATCAATTTAAATTTAATTAAATTAAATATATTCTTAAGAATATGATAACTTAGTAAAGTAAATAAGTTGTTATCCCTCCAAGTAATAGGTTGTAAGTTTAAAATTCACTGATGATAAAATTTGAATAATCATTTATATAATTGTCTGAAATGTAGTAAGAACTTTAATAGTAGAGCAATTGACATAATTTTGTATTGGATCCCAGTTATATGATCAAATAATGGCCAATCAAACAATATAAATAGACACAGATCAGCCCAACAATCTGAAATTTACCAACAACTAATACTTATATGTATTTTTAGCTTCAAACATTAACAGTACCAGTTTTTCTAGTATATAAATAGTATTATAGCAATAACATTTTGTTAATTAGTTGGAATAGAATACTTGTAACTATGATCACATCTGCATAACTGGCAGGTCTAGGGTATCTGTATAACCTTAGTTATACAAAGAAATGCAAACTAGTACTGAGCAATACAAATCTAAAATAAGTCTTTAAACTATGTAAATTTATAAAACTGAGAAGCTGAAACTTACTTAAAAATTTTGAGCATTGAGGTAATACAAATTTTTGATAATACTACTGTAAAGGTTAGACCTAAAAAATAGATACTAATGTAAAGAATCAGACAGGCAAGAATCTTAGATAAAGAATATTACTAACCAGGCTACTAAATTTCGAACTAGAGAAAAAGGATATTGAGCCAGCCTCAATATACTAAGAACAGGTTGCAGTCCTTTCAAGCTATTTGAGTTGAAAGTCTAAGATCAAAGCATAGGTATATTAAAAATACTAAAGATATATTGTAAAGTCAGTATTAGGGTCTAGATGAACTCTGTAAGAGTAGTCTTTGTTAGTGTTCTAAAAGTAGATAGATAGTTAACAAAAAAAGACTCTTTGTGCCTTACTGGCAAATAACATACTTTGAAATGTGTAACAGTCTAGAAACTAGTACAAAAAAGATAGGTATCATACTGCTTAAACAGTATACTATTTAGGTATATATGTTGTGTATCAGATTAAGACTTGGTGTTAGATTAAGACCAATGTGTGTTAGATTAAAACCATTAGCCAGCATTAAAATAATCTGCAATAATCAGCCTTGCTAAATTCTAGTTCTTACCCTAACCCTAACTCTAATTTAGATCAGTTTTAATCTGACACAAGTCTTAATCTGATGTACAATATATACAAGAAATTAGTTGGAGTTACATTATAAAAGACAAATGATTAGAGTGTTTAAATGAATAATCTTTTAGTAAATTATAAATATAACATCTAGTATAGAACTTTAGAATAGACTACTTAAATAGGCAACTAAAATTTATATATGTGACTAGTTGTATTCTTATCATTGTAAAAATAATTGTAATAACTAATCTAATAAAAGTCAATAAAGTATCATTACAAAGTATAATTTTTAATAAAAAAAAAAACTATATATATATATATATACTCTTAATTTAAAGATAGGGTGTACATAGATCATTTTTCATATGATCTAGATGGTATAATAGATTTTTATATAATAAATTAAAATATATTACTAATAAAACTTTTTTATTTTTTAATTAATTTTTATCAAAATTCAATAATATATATATTTAAATAAGTTATTTAATATTTTAAAATTTTATAAGATGTTTAATTTAAAAAAATTATATTTGTATATATCTTGAATTTTCTTTGGATGCTTTATGTTTTTCCTTAATTACACAAAAGAGTCAACTTTAATTGGCTAATTTCTGAAAACCTATAAGAGAGTTTTAATAATAAATTTTTGTATCTAATCTTTAAAAATTTATATTTCAATGAATTTTAAACCAATTTTAATGATTATATTATTGTTAGAATCACAAGAATCTACTCTACAACTTTACTTATAAGCTCAAAAAATATTTAATTAATAAAAAGTTTCGTAATTGAGATTACAAAAAAATATACCATCAAGTTTATATATAAATTTAAAATGTTACACCCTATCCTTAATTTGATCAAACATACTCATGATTTGATTTAATTAAATATACATTTAATTTGATTTAATTTGATTTAATTTTTAAAAAAATTTAAAATTTTAATTAATAAAGAAAAAACTTGATTTACAAACATTTTACTATATTAATTAATTTTAAGCTCTTAAATAAAAGTATTCTTCTAAACAAAATACTTCTAGTTTTATAAAATAAAAAAATTAATTGTTTTAATAAAATTTTAAATAAATAATTTACAATTTTGAATGTTCAATTATAAATTTTCAAATCAAATCAAATTTGATTATATTTGAATTTAATTTGATTTGAAAATTTCAGATTTGAATTTGATTTGAACTCAAATATTTGATCAAATCAAATCAAATTGTGGAACTCTAGTTAATATTATATAATCATATGATTTTTTGTAAATAACTTTTGATATCTAAAATTTAAATATTCATATCTCAATAAATATTTAATCAATTTTAATAAATTTACTATTGTTAGAATTAGAAAAACCTGTTCCTACAATTTTATTTTATTTTTTTTTAAATATTAACGGTGAGTTCTTACAATTTTATTTAATAATCCAAAAATGATTTGCTTAATAAAAATTTATAAAATTTTGAAAAAAAATAAATACCAAGAGGTTATATATAATTTATAATTGTTACTCCTACCTTTAAATATAGAATCACAAAATTGAAACAAAAGCAATTTGAAACAAGTTTTATTTGAATTTTTTATATTTATATAATTTAAATAAGTTTATTTATTTAAAAAATAATTAAGCTTATATATTGAACAGGACAAACGTCAGTTATACGTTCAATAGCAATAAAAATAATTGGACATAAGTCTAGCGCCAACACTGAATAAAAAAAGACGTTAAATACAAAAAACTAAATCGTGTTACATTATTTATATCGATTATATAAGAATTAAATGTGCAAAAGCTTTTAATAGAACTAATCACTGACTGATATTTTAAAGTTATAAAATTACACAGATTTCTCACTATTAGGTATAAAAGTTGCTAATGATGTTGCCATAGCACGTACTTTTGGATCATAATGGTTCTAATAGATAAAAAAATAAGTAAATAAATAAAATTTAAATTATGCATTTAATATCGCTTTTAAAAGTAAAGTTTCAATACTTTTAAATTACCTCTAACAAACATAACTCCCACAAATTAGTTGCCAATGGGTTGCATAATTCAGGGTCGTCCAAGTCTGCACGATATATTCCATTGCATATTCTATCATCAGATATTAATAGCGCGTCTAGTCGTGATTGTTTCTTTTGATATTATTTATCACAAAGTTAATCTTAAGAAAAAGGTATTAATAATTTAGGTAAAAATTAATGATGTCCCACCTGAATCATTTTTTGCATTTTTTCTAAACATATTAATACAGTTTCGCTCGGCCAATTTAAGCATGAAATTGAAAGCCGTTTCAAAAATGCTGCAGATCTTTCAATGGGAATCTGAAATCCAACAGCTTGCATAAACATAGAATGAACAATGATCGGTTAATTATATAAAATTTTTGAGAAGGACTCACCGTCCTTTTCTTAAAAAACATGTAATCAAATCCTTCCATTAATAACTGTTTTTCCGATGACACACTGAAGTTATTACTATATTTGATTTCGTCTTTATTGTCATTTATTATTGTCTTTTGCATTCTTTTATTTTCATTTTGTTCCATGTATGGATTTAGTGCAAGTGGCATTAATATTTTATACATTTGCGTATAAAAATCTTTCAGATCGATATTAAGTGCTTCACCTATTAAATATAAGAAATATAAATTATGATAATAAAAATTTTATAGGTACGGTAGATATATATATTTATATATACCTTGTCCAGAAAGTAATTGAAATGCAGTTATGATGCACAATAAACTTCTCCTTGTATCCACTCTTCTACTAGAATTCTCATTATCGTCTTCAATTTGTGGACCAACCATTATCTTTTTGAGCAATTCTAGTAAATCATTAAAAAAATCAACATTGATAAGATGCGCGAACCTATAATCGTAGAGATTGTACATGATGCATGTAATAGTAAATAACTAAAGAACAAAAAAAAAAATTAAAGTAAACAAAACAAATAAGAAAATAGTAGTAACAAATAGAAAATAAAAATATATAGCACAAGAA